CTCCTCTCTCCTCTCGGTCTCTCCTCTTCTCTCCTCTCGGTCTCTCCTTCTCTCTCCTCTCGGTCTCTCCTCGGTCTCTCCTCTCTCCTCTCACTTCTCGGTCTCTCCTCTTCTCTCCTCTCGGTCTCTCCTCCTCTCGATCTCTCCTCTCTCCTCTTGGTCTCTCCTCTCTCTTCTCTCCTCTCGGTCTCTCTCCTCTCCTCTCCTCTCGGTCTCTTCTCTGTCCTCTCGGTCTCTCTTCTTCTCTCCTCTCTCCTCTCGGTCTCTCTTCTTCTCTCCTCTCTCCTCTCGGTCTCTCCTCCTCTCTCCTCTCGGTCTCTCCTCCTCTCCCGTTGGCTGTAATCTCTGTCTGTCTGTGGTCAGGGTGCCTCCTCTAGTCTGGTGGTGAAGTTTGCAGACACAGAGAAGGAGCGCGGGATGCGGCGCATGCAGCAGGTGGCCTCGCAGCTCAACATCTTCAGTCCGGTGACACTCAACTTTAATGCATATAATGCCTACACACAAGCAGTGAGTACAACACACACACATATATGTTGGTATTGGTGGGTATTTTACGGGGACTCTCCATAGGCATAATGGTTTTTATACTGTACAAACTGTATTTTCTATCGCCCTACATCAACCCTACACCTATGATACCATTTTTATCAATGTAGAAAGAAAAGTCATTTTAAATGGGGTTTTGAATTTATTCACAGTTATACTTTTTTTTCAATAAGAACTGTCATTGAACTATTCAATGACAGTAAAGACATGTATAATGTTACAAAATATTTCTGTTTCTAATAAATGCTGTTCTTCTAAACTTTCTATTCATCTGTGAATCATGAAAAGTAAAATATATTACTGTTTCCACAAAAATATTGTGCAGCACAACTATTTTCAACATTGATAATAATCAGAAATGTTTCTTGAGCAGCAGATCAGCATATTATACTGATTTCTGAAGATCATGTGACACTGAAGACTGGAGGAATGATGCTGAAAATACAGCTGCGCATCACAGAAATACATTACAGTTTACAATACAATCACAAAGAAAACAGCTATTTTAAAGTTATATTATTATTTCACAATATTACTGTTTTTACTATATTTAAAAAAAAATGCAGCCTTGCTGAGCAAAAGAGACTTCATAATGTAAATTATGTTCCCTAATAATAATAATAATAACAACAACACTGTATTGTTTTATAAATATATAATATATAAACAATATATTTTTCTGTTGTGTCATGTTATATGACACATATCATGAAACAGTTTCACACAATAAATATTTAAATGGTTTGTTTATTCCCATGTAAGTGAATAAAGAGAGTGAGTTTTAACAGACTGCAATAAAAATGAAGCCCTAGGCCATAAAAGTGCCTGCAGTTGAAGAAACACTCAGAGCCTACAGCTCTTTATCCAGTGTTTCACCTGTCTTTACTACAGACCCTGCTTTAATCCCTGCACTCACATATATTGCTGTTTCCAGTTATATTGTTGTTCTCTCCATTATTAATGACAGTCGTTGTGGATTTATCTTGTGCTGCAAGTGCAGGGATGAAGACTCAAGCATATGTTGAAGTTGTGTAGCGTTAACTCTTTCCTCTCTCTCTGTCTCAGCTGCTTCAGCAGCAGGCGCTGGCTGCGCAGTCGTCATACCTGTCACCTGTATCTACAGTAGCGGCGCTGCAGATGCAGCAGATGGCAGCACTCAATGCTAACGGCATCATAGCTGCACCCATCACACCCTCGTCAGGTGATCACCACCGTCACCACACAGCACAGCTACCTGTGCTTCAGGAACCAGGTCCGAATGACGTCATTATATGGTTACATTACAATATTCAGAGCAGAGTGGATAAGAAAGTCTTCATGTGTGCTAAAGGTTTATTTTGTTAAAAATAAAGGTAGACATTAACTAAAAGCCAGAAAACTTTTAAAAAAAAAGTGGGAAAAGGTACACTTTAGCACTTATTACAGAAAAATTAATTTGAAAAGAATATACTTAAGTGCAAACTGAATGTAATGTTTTCTTAGACTTAAATGCATGTTATCTGCAATTAAATAAAGATGTATCATAGTTTACATTTATATTAAATGCCGTTATCTGAACTTTAGAGTGTTTTGACCCACTTAAGTAGGACTTAAATATATCTTTATTTGTAATTGCATAATTATGCTTAAAGTGTTACTGCAGAATACTGACAAGCTTTTATGATAAACTAAAATATGCTTTAATGACATTTCTATTGAACCTTGTATTTTAAATATGTTTGCAATTACACATTTGTGATGAAGTTGCAATTTAGTACATTTAAAAAGCATTAACTTTAATATGTAATATCAAATAACACACTACAGTTAAAATCATAGTCAAGTTCTTGTGCTTAAGTATGTTAGTCAACACATCAAAATAAGTGTACTTCTTTAAAACATGACAAAAGATTATTAAAACATTGATTTAAAATGTCCTTTAAAGTGAAACTTCTCATTTGATATTATTACAAAGTGCACTTTTTAAAAGTCTACTTAAGTCATGGAATTGTCTCTCTTTAAGTGCACTTAAATTACCTTTTATTTCATTCATATTATATTATACACTACAAGTGCACAATCAATACAAGAGCCTTCTTTTTCACAAGGTGATCTGTATGTGAAGAGCTCAGTGTTTACCATTCTTTTACTCGTCAGTCTAAACTCCACGCTGCTCTGTGATTGGCTACAGGTACAAACACTCCGCCCTCTATTGCAGCCACTCCCATCTCGGCTCTGCCTCCACCAATCGGAGTGAACGGCTATAGTCCCATAACGGTAAACACCAATGGACTGCCAGCTTCAGAAATCTACACCAACGGTGTTCATCCATATCAAGGTGAGAAGAATCCCTAATGCTTTGGGAGGCACTCAAACTGCCCAGAGCACACTAGAGATTACTATGGGAAGCCAAACAACCCAAATGTGGGACGAAACGGCGCGGTATTCAAGTGTTCGCAAGTGTACATGTAGTAATATGAAAGATAATAAGCAAAAGAAATGTAATAACTCATTATGTTATGTGCAGGAAAAAAACACGAACTTCTGCGGAGAGTAATGTTCGCACAGTAGGTGGCGGTAATGCACCTTAACGTTGGATTCCACCTGCCTTAAAACATGAAGAAGAAGAAGAGTAATGTTCGCGCCGCGCTGTCAGCTCGGTGGCGCTAGTAAACTGTCGAGGTCGCGCCGCTCGGTCCATTGAGCCGCGCCTATGACAGGTCAGCGCGGCCCGAACACTTGAATACTGCGCCGTTTCGTCCCACATTTGGGTTGTTTGGCTTCCCATAGATTACCCACAATCAGGGATGGCCTGGGAGTAAAAAACGGCCCTGGATTTTCCCCCAAATAGGCCTTGCCTACAACTACAAACAGCCGCTACTATCTCACAGTTTTACAGCAGTCAATGTATTGCATTTATGCCAAAAACCAATGGTGATTGAAATAAATTTATTATTGTATGAAGTAAAATACTTAAAATCTACATAAAAAGAGCAGAAAGCAAAAAATTAATATTATGACATAATGATAAACATAAAATTAGAATGTAGAAACCAGAAACAACAGAACTATTCTACAATTTTGAGTATTCATATGTCTTTGTGTGTGTGTGTGTGTGTGTGTGTGTGGTTGTGTGTGTGTGTGTGTGTGTGTGTGTGTGTGTGTGTGTGTGTGTGTGTAGGCTACTTCATTTAAACTGTAAAAAAACTCACTGCCTTAAAATTTTAAGTTCAGTCAACTCAAATAAGTTTAATCAACTTGAACTAGTTGAGTTGTACTAAGTGACAACTTAGATATGATTCATTTAGAATAAATTATTTTAATTTAGAATACTGATCCAAATAATTAGTAATTCCTTCTGAAGAAAATGGTAATACTTGAGTCATCCCTAGTGGGTTACCATGACCTTCACTTTAGAATTAATTATGCATTATGCAATATTCATATTATTATGAACCTGTATACAGTAGTTCTTAGGGAGGTATGAAACAATAGTAGTTACTGATTAGCTAATAGTGAACTACCACATTCAGCTAAGCACTATTACTTACTAATTCATCAATAAGAGTTTCTTGTTAGATGCTAGTAGTTACTAGAGTGCTAATATTGTGCTACTTGTGCAGTTATTCATTAATGATGGAACAGTATTCTAAAGTGTTACCAAAAAAAAGATTGCATTGGCGCCCCCTTTTGTCTTAATCTGACACTTACTCTTTGATGATGAAGCAGCCAGGCCTTCTCTAGAAAGTCCAGATGGCCAGTCCGCCCCTGCACGCAGTCCTCTAACATCATAGCAGCGACTTTAGCATGCACAAAAACCACTCACATTTATTCACAAACTGCAAATGCTTTCTCTTCATCACTCCTCCAGCCCAGAGTCCGGTGGCGGCGCTGTTAGATCCGCTCCAGCAGGCGTACGCAGGCATGCAGCACTATACAGGTGACTGAGCTGCTGCAGTGTCTCTCACAGAGCATGTTTTGTGTCACATTAATCTGTATCAGCATGTGTCAAACTCTCTGCTTCACAGCAGCCTATCCAGCCGCATATGGATTGGTCAGCCAGCCGTATATACAGCAACCCACCCTGGTTTCCCAGCAACAACTGCAGCAGCAGCAGAGAGAAGGTGATGTAATTTGCTGTTGAAAGAAAGGATAGTTTGTGTACTTCCACAAATTTAAAAAGAGTACTTCTTAGGAAAATAAAGTGTCAAAGGAATGCATGTTTCCTGACATTTAATTGTATGTTAATGCAATAAAATGAAAATGTACTATAATTTTATTGATATTAAATTCAAGTTTTTTTTGACCCACTTAAGTCTGACTTTTTTATCTTTATATGTCATTTCATAATTACTTGTATTGTCTTTGAAATATGGTTAAAGTGCTGCTCAGTGTACTGACAAACTAAAACTATAACTTTATGATAAACTAAAATATACATTAATGTTATTTCTATTGAAACTATGTATTACACATTTGTAAAAATGCAGTTGCAATTTAATACATTTAAAATACAAAATGAACTTTAAATGTCATCTTAAGCAACACTACGATTAAAATCAAAGCAGGTGTACTTTTTGAAAGCGCAACAAAAGACATTAAAACATAATGATTTAAATGTACTTTAAAATAAAACTCTTAAATTGACATTCTTTTAAGTGTGTTAAGAAACATAGAAGTGTCTCTCTTCAAGTATTTAAGTATTTTTAAATGTACTTACTGAATTTTAAGTACACTACAAGTGCACATTCAGTACAATTAAGTGTACTTTTTCACAAGTGCATGGTTAATTATTGGTTTATTTATGAATACATATGTGTTCATAAATCATTGCATATGAGTTTCTCATTATAAGTCTAATGTGTGTGTGTGTGTGTGTGTGTGTGTGTGTGTGTGCCGCAGGTCCTGAGGGGTGTAACATCTTCATTTACCATTTGCCTCAGGAGTTCACTGACTCAGAAATGCTCCAGATGTTTCTGCCGTTCGGTAACGTCATTTCTGCAAAAGTCTTTGTCGATCGGGCCACCAATCAAAGCAAGTGCTTCGGTAAGAACGAGCACCGTATGTGTTCAGGAAAACACTCATCGTCAGCGTCATGCTTTACCGCTTCAGCTACAGGTAGCAGCTACCTAGAAACCTCCCACAATTCCCAGCTATCACATAGCAATACACTGGTGTTATTGTATTATCATTTAGACGCTTTTTATTATTATTTTATAATTAGACCAAATTAGATATTTTGTATTTTCTGTTTTTATGTTCATTTAGGTAAAAGATTTTGTTGAGTATTTTCAGCATTTTTAAAAAATGTTTAAAGCTGTCTGTATAGTATTAATTAGGTTTCAGTTTTTAGTTCTAGTTATTTTAGTACTTCAACTACTAAAAACAAATGAGAAATTGTGCCTCGGCAACTATAGCTGAAATAAAATAAGTTCTTTCAGTTCATGTTTATTTCATTTCAAGTAAACATTTTTTATTTTAGTCTTAGTTTTAGTTAACAGTGATAATCCTGGCACTATCGACCAATCAGAACAGCTCAGCAACTTTGCACGGACACTGAACATTCATCTCTCTGTCTTTTCTCTCTCAGGCTTTGTGAGCTTCGATAACCCAGCGAGCGCTCAGACGGCCATCCAGGCCATGAACGGATTTCAGATCGGCATGAAGAGACTCAAAGTGCAGCTGAAAAGACCGAAAGATGCCAACAGACCCTACTGAGACACAGACAGGTAAGAGCAGACAAAGCATTAGGAAAGAGAGAGATTTATCATGCAAAAGGAGGGACGAATGAAAAACTGAGAAGATGAGAAAAAGAGATGCTAAACACACTTATAATAGATAATAGGAGGCGATAGAGGCAGTGCATGCTCAAAAAATAGATGAGAAAATGACCCAGAGGACTTAAAAAATTGTGAAAACTTGCTAGTAAATTTCACAAATAATTACATTTACATTTAGTCATTTAGCAGATGCTTTTATCCAAAGCGACTTACAAATGAGGACAATGGAAGCAATCAAAATCAACAAAAGAGCAATGATACGCAAGTGCTGTAACAAGTCTGTACGCAGTACACGCAGCAAGGTTTTGTTTTTAAATTCTATAATAAATAAAAAGAAAACAGGTCAAATAGAAAAAGAATAGAGCAAGTTAGTGTTAGAGGCCTTTTTTGCTTTTGTTAATTGTATAATAAATAAAAAGTAAACAAATACATAGAATACAGAAAGATTAGAAAAGGTTAGTTAGTTTGTTTTTTTAAAGAATAGAATTAGAATAGAGAGTTCTAGAGTTAGAGGGTCAAATAAAGATGGAAGAGAAGCAAATTACAAAGAAACAAGTAACTCAACTTGACACAATAACTTTTGAAAAATCAAGTGAAAATAAAACAAATGTAAACACTATATAAAAACTTTATAAATCACTATTGTTTCTAAAGTAACACTGTCAGAAATGATACACTTCACGTTTAAATGTGACAAGCAAGCATAATAATAAATACCATGATCCAGTTTTTCATTACTGATGATGCTGTTTTGTGTTCTCTTGATGTAAATCACACTCGGCCAATCATAAATGGCGGAGACCCCATGGCTATGGTTTACTAGCAACAGATAATCCACTAGCTCTGAAGCTGTAGTAAGTTGATTGGCCTGTTTTGGTTTGGGTTGCTCTGTTGTTCTTCTGCAAACGGCCACGAGGTGTGGGCTGCATGGCATGTTGCCGATGGATTGTTCGGTGCATTTGATTTCTCTGATGAGGTTTGAATGATAATTTTCTGTTTGATTGGAAATGAATTTCCACTCTCTGTGATGAACTAGACTGCAGTCTCGGAAGTGCTCTGTTTGTGCTGTAAATAGTGTGCTTATAATCATGAATGATTCAGAACGTTTATCACATAACATAAGAGCAGGTAAACAGGTAAATGCAGCTGTGACTAAAGCGTTAGTTCAGCCCAAAATAAAGATCCTGTCATCGTTCACTCACCCTCATATTGCTCCAGAGTGGCCCATACTCTGTGGAACACAAAAGAAGATATTTAGAGGAATGTTCATACTGCTCTTTCCCATAAACGCGAATGGAGCAAAATGTACCGTACAAGTAAAACAAGCCAATTAAGACATTTAAGTCCCATATTCAAACTTGGCAGATTAATACGTCAAAACATGAGGGTGAATAAATGGCATTTTAATTTCTGAAGTACCTTCATCACTGTGAACCTGCCTGAGCGTCTGACGGTGATGTTACAGTAAGTACAGTGCCTGGTGCTGAATGGAGGAAACGTCAACAATGCAGGAATTCTGGGGAAGATGATGTTAAATATCAGATTAGTCAACCTCATCTTTTTGGCTGTTCAGTTCTTCAGCAAATACCCAGAATCCCTGTTGCAACGTAAACCAGAGAGTGTGATGCATGTTGGCTGCAATAAGAATCACTCATAAACAGATCTAAATGCACACATACAGTATAAACACACGTGCACATGGATGCGATATGAAAGCTCTACGATCTCCAGCGGTCTTGAGCTTCGCTGTGACCTGCATGGGCAGCGTGAATGTGTTTGCGTGTATAAAAGCACATCTGATATGGCATACATGCAGCAGCTGAGGCGTTTGACAGGTTGTGAAGGTTTGACCTCCTCAGCACTGAAGTGTGTAATTTTATCCTTGTTATAACACCTCCACATATCCCAGATTAATATGGAGAGACTTTGTAAGTGTCTCTGTAAAACATGAGACATCATGACCAACCCGACACTACAATGATTTAACCAATGCTGTGATTTTAGCCCGGGGCCATCTGTTTGTCTGATCAATGGTAGACGAGAGGAAAGTCATTATTTTTGCACTTACATTTGGTGACAAAATTACACACTTCACTGTAAAACTGCAACTTATAATTCTTGCAATCCGTTTTGAGATTTTGTTCTGCATTTAGTTATAATATAATAATGCTTTCCAAAGTAGCATGTCTGATATTGAACATGTTTGGTCACAGAAAGCGATTCTTAAGAAGCATCACAGGAATCAGTTGACTGGAAAGAGTGTCATCTAACATGAGCGAGATGAGTGTGGGTGATGATGATGATGATACAATAATGTTTTTATTCACACTGAGGAACCTGAAGATACAGACGTTAACCTGAAAGCTGAATTGCTGTCTGCTCTTGGACCGGCTGCTTCTTGCCTGCGATCCAAAGCAGAGAATCTAACAGCATGATCATCAGTGTAATGCAGTCGATCTCTCTCTTTCTGTCTGTCACAGGATGGAGATTATTGAAGCGTTCACGCAGCAGACGGACTCCAGACGCTGAGCTGCACAGGCTGAATTGTTAACGTGAGATGTTTGTTATCTTGCACACTCACACGTGTGCGCTTATGCAAAGGACAAATAAAAGATCATGCACATAAATCACATGCATTCAAACTCTCAAGTCATGGAAAGATGTCAATGGTATTAACACACACACACACACAAAAAAAACATGCTACTTCTTATGGACCTTCTTAGCTCTACAAATGTATAAAACTATCATTTTTCATACAAAATGTAAAAAAATACAAATACAAATAAAAAGAGAAGACCAGCCACATTAAATGACCATAATCAGGTTAAAATAATTAAGCTAAAAATAAACTATTTAAAAAATTTGCATTAAAGCAAAAGACGATAGTTGCAGTATTATTATTATTATTGTAAGAAAAAACATCTTAAGATTTCTACTTTTTAATTATAAATGTGATGTAAGGGACTCAGGAACTTCTGGGCAAGTTTTAATAGTTGATCTTTTTATTTATCTATTTATTCATGTTTGGAAAAAAAAACTTGTTTGGGATGTGGTCTCTTGGTTTTCACGTTTTTTTAGAGAACTACATTAAAGCAGTTGTAAAACTTTGTAACGTATTGAAATGTGAATTACAAAGATGATATTTACGTCTGAACTTTTTTGATCAAACTTTTGTTTCTAATTTAAATAAAATAAAGGTATTAAAACAAAGGTCTGTCATGTGTCACGTGTTAATATACATGGATCGAGGTCTGCGTGTATCAAAGAGTGTGTCATATACTGAAGATGCCTATATGTCTGCAAACTGAGATTATTATATTTCACGGCAATGCACCAGACTGTCGAGCCTCCGGAGTGGAAAAGACACGAGAGGATCAACAGTTTGACAGTCTGACACGCACATTCACAACGCTGCACGATACGGCTACAAACACATTACATACAGTGGGGCAAAAAAGTATTTAGTCAGCCACCAATTCCAGTCAATGTCTTCAGAAGCCAAAAGCTGAAACATATTTTGCTTCTGGTCAAAATACGAGTCCATAATCCATAATAATGCTTACTCCAGTGACAATCACACACCAAATACTTTTTGTGGCCACTGTATGTGGGAAAAGATGAATAAAGCTTTACTGTTTAGATCATATAACACTATATGTTGATATAATGTAAATTAACGTCATTAATGAAAGTTATTATAACTAATAAGTGCAAGGCAAAAGATTTCCAACTTTCAAAAATTCAAAAATGAATCTTAGCTGCTCATGATTAGGCAAATGTCTCAAAACTTCATTCTGCGCTTCATAATTAAAGCATTACATTAATACATCACATACATTATGAAGGGCAATGTATTTTATGCATTTTGGCTCTTTATAAAACGTATAAATATTAAAATAATATAACAATTGTTAGAATTCGTACACTACTGGATTAAATGTCACAAAAAATTTTAGGTGCCCTTTATGACATTACCATTATGACCTTTCAGATGTAATATTGTATGTAAAGATGCTGACATCTAAGGGATGGACTGCTTGAAGAATCTGAGGATATTAGAGAAATGTAATATCCCTGATTCTCATCATAGGATCAACAATAAAAAATGATGTCAAAAATGCTCCTTTATAACTAAACATCTCAGTCAGGAGCGCCTAATTAATAAGCAGAAAACAATTAAGGAAAAAGGCGTACGTAAAATATTTACACATTAAAAAAAAATCAAAGATTCACAATCCATCCTGACATGCACCTATTATGAACATTATAAGGTGTATTAGACTTGTTTCAGTCATGAACAATTCTTTTTTTATTTATTTTTTTAATCAGTTGGGTGAATAATTCAATGACTCACTCAAAGCCTACAAAAAGACGCTTGTCGCCACCTACTGGAGTAACCTGCAGAAAAGTGCAGAAAAACTTTTTTACGACTTCAGAGCTCTGCTGAGGTCATGGAAGAATTACATTTTTGGTCATTGGCCAACATTCGAGAAAATCTCAACCAATAGCGTGAGCCTGGGGCGGGGCTAACGGTTTGTGCAATCAATTGTGTTTTAAGGAACTAATAGTTAAATGAATGATTTGATATTTGTGTGCTGTGAATACCATTACAGTCAAACCAAGATTTATTCAGACACCTTCAACATTTCTCACATTATCAGTTTATTCGCTATAGTTTAGAAAATGGTAATAAAATATAACAAGAGCTCAGAGTTAAACTGTGTCAGAACAAATTCTTCTTGATAATGTCAGATAACTTTGAAAGAAAGGTATGTAATGAATTCGGTTGAATAGCTGTCAGCTGTTAACACAATAAAACCAATTTAGCTCAACCAATTACCAAGCGATGCTTCATTTTGTTCAGTCTGTGGTGTAAAAAGATCACATTAGCAATTAAAGAAAAAACACTTAAGCAAAGCATGCTCAGGTCAAAGTGTCTGAATATTTTTTGATCCCAAATTTGACTGGAAGTCCACTGTATGAGGAATATTTGGGTATAATATGTCACAGTTTACTTTATTTTGCTATCCTCACTTTACATAAATGAACTATAGTGTCCTGCACCCACTAGTAAAATAATATAACATTGATAATACATTTTAAGTACATATATGTGGCAGTCAAACGATGTTTTTAAACTTTAGAAAGTGTGTCATATCCAGTGTTGGGGGTAACTCCGAGTAATGTGAGTTACGTTATCAGATTACTTTTTTCAAGTAACTAGTAAAGTAACGCATTACTTTTTTAATTTACAAGAAAATATCTGAGTTACTTTTTCAAAAATGTAACGCCAGTTACTTTGTTTTCCCATGTATTGCCTGACAGCTCTCCTGTCCCCATACTGGGAGAAATCGGGAGTACAGAGGCGTTGTGTGAACATGATGCTACTGTAGTTCCAGACTACATGTGAATGTGCATTAATTCATCCCACTCACAAAAAACTGATTTAGTATTCATCAAAATTAATTAAAACAGTGAAATGCAAACTCAGAATATGACGCAAACCTGCAATAATTAAATATGTTAAATTACACAAATGTATCTAATCCCATTTTATTAACCGATGTCTTTGCTGCTGACCTTTGCTGATCCAGTTCAACTGTACTAATAAACACAAATGACTTTAGAGAAACTAACAATTGTGCTTTGTTTTTTGTATTGCTGAAGAGTGTTTCTTCTCCTGCGTTCTACCGTACAGACCTGAATTTACTTCTGCTTCAGCCTGAGCTTTATTCATTACACTTTTTGGTGTGAAAGGGCTTTTATATTTGCTATAAATAGAACTTCTTATATTAAAAACAATCAAGCCCTGCTTATATTTAAAACGTAACGTGGAAGGTCATACAAAAGCAAAATATCTACAAAGCTTTCCATTATGAAAGAGTCCGGAAGAGTGTGATCTCTCTCTCTCTCTCTCTCTCTCTCTCTCTCTATTAAATTCAATTCAATTCAAAAAGTGCTTTATTGGCATGACTGTAAATGATACAATCAGTGTTGGGGAAAGTTACTTTTAAAAGCAATGCATTACAATATTGTGTTACTCCATAAAAAAGTAACTAATCACGTTACTTAGTTACTTTTTATGGAAAGTAATGCGTTACGTTACTTTTGCGCTACTTTTTAAATCTGGACAGGGCTTGCTTGTTTGTTTTTAAAATAAAAAAGTAATATTTTTGGCAAATATAAAAGCCTTTTCACACGAAAAAAGTGAAATGAATGCGCCTCAGGCTGAAGGGAAAGTACATTTACATCCGTACAGTAGAATGCAGAAGAAGACATTTCAACACACTTCAGCAATAAACAAAGACACAAATGTTCGTCTAGAGTAATTAGTGCTTATTAGTATGGTTGAACTGAATCATCGAAGCTCAGAAGCAAATAGAACGGGATTAAATACATAAAGCATATTTGTGTTGTTTAACATTTAATTAGTGCAGGTTTCCATCATATTCTGAGTTGCAATATTTTTATTCATTTTGAGGAATACTGAATCTGTTTTTGTCGTGTATGTGAAATGAATTAATGCATATTCATATTTATTTTAGAACTAGAGTAACATCTTCTGATTTCTCTCAGCATGGCAACACCAGAGCTGTCAATCAATACATTGGAAAAAAGAAAAGTAACGTGCATTACTTATTTGAAAAAGTAACTCAGATATTCTCTTATATCTGTAAATTAAATTAAGTAAATTAAAAAGTAATGCGTTACTTTACTAGTTACTTGAAAAAAGTAATCTGATTACGTAAATCGCGTTACTTGTAACGGACACTGGATACAATATTGCCACATCTCTCTCTCTCTCTCTCTCTCTCTCT